TCTTCATTATCCCTTTCTGTCCCTCCTCTCTCTCATTCTCTGTCCCTTTCTCCATTTTTACAGAAAATTTGTTGAGGCCCATCCTACAGTTACACTATAGAGCTCACCCACTGTGAGCGCACAGTTGGGTGAGCTTTAGTAAATTTATCCGGTCGGAGAAGCTTCCCCACGAACCCGTGGTACTGCAGCCCCGTCAGCCAGATCCTCCTGAGCCCATTTGCGGGCGGTCTCTCCTCCTAGTCCCAACCCTGCAACCACTGATCTGTCTCTACCGTTTTGCCTTTTCTAGAAATTGCGTGTAAATCGAATTATACACTGTATTGATCTTTGTATCTGGCCTCCTTCACTCAGCATCATGTCTTTGCATCTATCAGTACTTCATTCCCTCCATCCTTATTTTTTGACTTATCTTTGTCTCTCTCTCATATGCACACACGCACTCAGTTTTCTCACTAACCTTCCCAGACCTTTTTTTTTTTTTTTAAAGTAGGCTCTATGCCCAGCACGGAGCCCAACGCAGGGATTGAACTCACAACCCTGAAATCAAGACCTGGGCTGAGATCAAGAGTCGGGACACTTCACCGGCTGAGCCACCCAGGCACCCCGACCTTTTTTTTTTTTTTTTTTTTCCTAACCTCACATCTTGATCTGGTCTTTGGGCCCTAAGGTGTAAATAGGAGAGTAGTGTGGAGACTAAAAAACAGCACAAAAGGAAGCTGGGTGAATAAAGTCATTTTATTGAAGATGCGGCCCGATTCCACTCAGGGTGGAGGGTGGCCTGAACAGGCGCCCCTTGCAGGGGGTCTCCAGGCTGCGGGGCGGCGCCTGGGGCTTCTGGCCATGGGGGTAGGGGGGTGGCAGCAGGGCCACCGGCGGGGACTCAACGAGCCCCGGCTGCCCGGCTTGTGCTGTCGGGGACTGCACAGGTCCCTGCTGCTGTCCCTAATGCTCAGGCCAGACCCCAAGGGGGGAGGGGTACAGGGTGAAAATGGTAACTGTAAACGCTCTGGTTTCAGTTTCAGTAAAGAGGAGGCAGGACAGAGGCACGTGGGGACACAGAAAAAGCTGCTGTGGGGAGATGTCTTCGCAGAGCTCCGGGGGCCAGCTGCCTCGCTAGACGACGGGGCTGTTGCTGTCATTTCCCTCCCCGAGCTCAGAACCTGGAAAGCAAGGAGGTGTCTCAGGCTGGAGGGCCATGGTGGACGGTGAGCTCTGCCGATGAGGGTGTGCCCCCTCCTGCCCACACTCCAGCCCTGGGCGTACACACACACACACACACACACACTTGCCACAGTGCCTGGAACGGTGTGAGTAACAGAGGCTGCCCTCTCTGGAATCCTCAAATGCCCCTCCAGGCTTCCAGCCAGGCCAGGACAGAGGGACCATAAGCCCCTCAACAAAAGCGCCTAGGTCCACATCCTCACCCGACCTGGGGCAGCAAAGGTTTGCAGGTGGAATCCTTGGAGGAGCCCTGCCTCCTCTCAGGGTAACGCCCCGACATGCTCGCCCCTTTCCTTAACCTGGCAGGAAGTCTGGGGGGAGGGTTGACCTGGGTCTTTAAGAAATCTTTCAGACATTAAATGACTGGAGGTAGAGGGCCATGTGACGGGAGGAAGGGGAGCAAAGAGGCAGTAGGAAGGCAGTGGGGTCTGAGTGGAAGAGGTGGAGTCTGGGGGGTGGTTTTTATTCTTGGGGGAAACTCTTGTTTTCAATATACTTTTCCCACTGGCTTGAGTGAGTGCTCTGGAAACCACTGAAGGGCAAAGAGCAGGAGCAATTGACATGCCCCCATTCGTACCAGGACCCTCTCGGCCTCTACCTCTGCTACAGGGAAGCCCCAGGCCCATGAGCTGCCTCTGGGCCCTCGCCTATGCTGTCTGTCCCCCAAGACTAGTTTCCTTGACCTGTGTGTATGGGGGTGAGGTGGTCTGGCCCAGCCTTTGGCACTGTTCCCCTCCCAGGCCTTGGACTTGGCTGTGCCAGCTGGGGAGCGGCTGTGGGGGGGGGGCTGGGTCACAGAGCCATGGGGCAAGTTGGACTTGGGCACACCCGCCCAGGAGCTCGCCCTAGCTGCTTCTACCTCAGTGCTTCCTGTGGCATGTGTGTGCTCCAGATGCCGGGGGGGGGGGGCAGGGAGAACGTTGGCAGGGGCACCACAGAGCCATGGAGGCTGGCATCTCCTTGTGCCACCTGGTGGGCCCTGATGTTTTGTCTTTTTCCTCTCTCTTCACCTGAGCTGAGCTAGGGCAGCAGGTCACAGCTGTGACTCAGCTCTGGCAACCCATCTTAACAAAGTGCTGCCAACCAGGTGAGTCATGCCAGGCTGCTGGGGACCAGAGAAGAGTGTGGCCAGGGGGAGGCCGGGAGGCGTGGGCATCTGGCTGCCCGGGCTTGTCTCGATCACGGCCCTGGCGGGAAGCCAGGCCAGAGCTGCCCCTGACCCCCGTGCCAAGACTGTCCCTCTGCGCGGGGGCTCTCCTCCACCTCGGCCGCCTCCACCAGTGTCCGGGATGGTGCAGGGCTGGCGGCAGGTAGAGCGGGCCTAGACCTACAATTCCAGGGGAGATCTGGCCGCCCCCACTTTGGGGCGGATCCTACAGCCAGTCCCAGCTTCCTGAGGAGGGATGGTAAGTGACGATCAGCGGGACCATCTTTCTCTGAGCGACGCAGGCACTCGCAGGGAGGGTCCTCAGGCCTCCTCCGCGGAGACTCGTTTTGAAGCAGCGCCCCAGGGATGCTCTTCTCCTGCCCTCCAGAGAGGGCAGTCTTCCCTGCGGCCGGGGCTCGGAGGCCCCCCGGGGGAAAGGCTGGGTCCCCGGCATGGCAGGGCGACAGCGTCCCGCGCTGGGCACTAGGGGTCGCCCCCGCCCAGCCGAACCGCCGGGCGCGCGGGCTGCAGGTTTCCCGGGACCGGGAAGAGCCGCCCGCGCCACTGGGGCGGGGGGCGGGGAGGGGGCGCCGCCGAGACCCTGCCCCGGGCCGCGGGGGCCCCCAGCTGCTTCCCGACGTCGGCTCGCGGCCGCGCCCTTTCGGTGCAGGGGCTCCGGCCGGAGGCCGCCACTGGGACCTGCGAGTGAGGCGCAGAGGCGCTTTTCCCCGACACACAAAGGTCTTTTCTAGATCTCTCCGCTCCCTTCCCGCTCACTCCCTTCCCGGCTGCCGGAGGGGGAGCAGCAGCCCCGGGTGCGCCCAGACGACAGGGCCGGGCGGCGGGGTCCCCAAGGGGCCCCGGGACCGTCACCCGGCGGGGATGGACCCCGTGGTCGCGCCCAGGGCTGGCACTCCGGGCTCCTTTTGTGAACCGAGGGAAGCGTCCCCTCCCTGGGTCTCTGAAAACGGTCAGCCCGGGTTCTGAGCACTGCGTGCCCTGAATAATCAATTGGCTTCTCGAGGGTCGTAATCTGGGCCCCACCCTGTGGAGCTTTGAGCTGGTGCAGTTTCTCCCGGCGAGCCTGTTGGGGGTTCCGCCGGGATGACCAGGGGCCCACCCCAGGGTCTGAATTTGAATCTCGGGGAGGGGCCTCGGAATCTGCACTTTGGGTAAATTTCCCAGGCGATTCTGATGGCAAAGCCAGTGTGGGGATCACTCCTCACTTTAAACCTGCCTTAGGGCAGGCAGTTGTAAAATTTCTCCCCTGAAGAACTTCTGGAATTGGAGTTGTCACACCCACCTGGGTCCACTGTGATGTTTATTCTCCCTGCTGAGGGAGAAGCTCCTCCTGAGTCTGGTTGCAAGCCCTCCTGCTTTAATTAAGCACATTTTCTTCAGTTGGGTTTTCTATGGGATAACGAACCTGTTGGAAGACAGCTGTCCTGCCCTCCTTTGGGGGACCTTTCTCAGGAGACCTGTTTTCCTTGCTCAACCTGTGAATCCTGCCGACCCACCTGACCTGGCCGCGTGGTGAGACGATCCATTGCAGCCACTAGCTCCTGAATGAATGGGGTCCCTTCCTGTAGTGGCTAAACAGCACCCTTCCAGGGTTTAGAAGATAACCCAAGAGGCTCCCCAAATAGTGGATGCTGGAAAAATCCCAGCAAAGGAAAAGGGGAAATAAGCCTGCAGCAAGTCGTCCTGCGCCCGCCTGATGATACCATCTTCCCTTTCGCTGGCCCTCATCCTTGCTTTCAGGATGAATTAAAATCCTTATCTGCTCTGCATCTAGTGGACTTGGGACTCGCCTCCCTGACGGCTGCCGCTAGACTTTCCCAAGCTTTGTGGGGTTATTTATGCCTCTGGGTGGTGGTCATTACTTCCTTCCACAGTTATGAGGTTCCACACAGTCACAGAAAAAGAGTAAATTAGCAAACACCCTCAAAATGGCAGGACTGACCCCCAAACCTACTTTCATTTTCTTCCGGTCTGGATTGTGGGTAATTTCTTGACAACTATGAGAAAGAAGACAAAGAAAAATGAATTGTTTTTCCAAAGCAATTGTGAACAGATGTATAATTCCCCCTTAAAGGGGCAGAGGTGCCAAGGGCAATGTTGATATTCAGCACCTGCGGGGGCTTAGCCTCGTGCTAAAGGCAGGGCAGAGAGAACCCAGGTCACCTTCGTTGGTGGTTCAGGGCTTCTAAATTTGGCCGTGGGAGCAGACTTGCTTCCTTTCGGCAATTGATCTGAACAGCAGAAGCCCATTCTGAGGGTTCGAGAATCACATTTACAAGCCGTGGGGGTGAAGGCCATGCTAATTGGCCACTTGCCTCACCCCTGGCTTTTAAACAATCAGTTGTGTTCTCTGCCTGGCAGGAAGCTGCAGGCCCATCAAGGCTCTGGGCTCCGTCTTTGTTGTGACTTTATGGCATTTTATGCCACAATAAGAAACACTGTGTACTCTGTGGGAGCCCATTGTGCCAGGCTGCAAGGATGTGGGCTCCTGTGCAGAGGGCTGGTGCTCCGCCCCCAGAGAGGGAGAAGAGGGGCTTTGTGACAGGCTGGAGGGCAAAACAAGGGGTGCCGGACACTGTTACTGGGGCAACTGCTGGCCAGTGTGGGGGCAGCTGTGGCTCCTGGGTCCCTGTCACCCGTAGGCGGGGGTGGGGAGGGCAGGCGAAGGATGGACTTTCTTCTAAGTCAATTCTACATCAGGACTGTGCCAACCGCGGCCCCCAGCCCCTCCAGCTGCTAAGCCGGCCTCATCCCGCCTCGAGACTCGAGACTCCATGCCAGGTGACCGCCTCTGTATGTAAGCCAGCTCTCATTCCTCACGGAAACGCCATCTGGGTGAGTAGGGAAGTTTTCCCAAATGAGGGCCAAGCCTGGGCCTCCAATATTTTGGGTAGATTTGGTTCTTTGGGGCAAGAGTTTTGGGGTTTGTAGAAACAGTGTGAATGGAAGGGCCTGGAGGAAGTCTCACCCACAGATGGGCCAGTGGAGTTTCAGAGCTCCTTCAGGACCCTGCCTATTCCCCAGGCCAGCCACTGCCCCCCCGTGCCCCTCCCCCCGAGTGTTATACAGGTGAAAGTTTCCCTACAGGTGAAATGTTCCTCCAGCGTACCTGGGGCAGGAGACCAACGCAGTGCTCGCTCCAGGAGGTCACGGGCACGGTCATGATCCCTGGGAGGATTGGGGTCCCTCTGCCCTTTCAGCTCACGGACAGAGATTCTTTCTAGCGTTTTACCTAGTTTATTGAAGTCAGCCCTTAAGAGGTACAGGGGAGCTGCCATGGGCAGGCAGGGAGAGGAATTCGGGGAACAGGTAGATTTCATTGGGGAAATGGCATGGTGTAGAAGGCCCGGCTTTGCCTTCAGGACGCTCACCACCTTACTAAGGAGACAAATTATTTGTTTATGGGATCACTGGACACCCCAGGAAGTCCCAGCCAGGGAAGATCTTGTGTTGTCAATTCACAGCCTCTGGAAATTCACTGGGTCCACTGGTTCTCGTGACCAAGGGTTACTTTCCAGTTATTTCCTGTCTTTATAAATATGTGAGTCTCATCTTCCAGCTTGATCAGAAGTTCCTCAAAAAATGGGACAACATGGCATCATGTCCGGTAGCCACTTTCCCTGATCCCCATCTCAGCACCTGGTACAGGCCAGGGCGTGAATGAATGAGTGAATGAATGGTCATCACCATGGGCAAACATTCATCACTGGGTGTCCTAATGAGACACAAGTAAGGGGCCCAACGTGAATGGGTTCTCCAGTTCTGATAGGTAAAGGAGAGAGAAGGGGTTGGTCCCCCCCCCCCAACATGGTGGCTCTTTTTTGCTAAATGTTACCCTCAGCTTCTGAGTGTCTTCTCCAAGAAGATACTGAGACTCAAATCCAGAAGACTGTGAATTTGACAAAAGCCATTTGGGTCCCTCTTCACTGGCTATTTGTACTGGTCATTGCTTGGTGGTTTTAGTGTGTGAGGTCTATTTCAGGGTTTCTCAAATTAAATGTAAGCTTTAGGAGTGCTGCCCTGTCCTTCCTGCTTCCTCCCACCTGGGTTCCCAGATTGTTCCTGGTGTCACTGACTCCTTCTCCAGGATAGTTTTACCAGAAACTTCTTTAGACTCCATGCTTCAGGGCCTTGGTTCTCACCCATTGGGCTGTGCTGTATGGTGTTTGCTGTGCTGTGTGTCCCGGAGGCTAGCATTGCTTACATTAGCTTGCTGACGTCATGGCCATCTGTAACCTATATCAAACCCTGGGTGCTTTGAAGTTCAATGTGCAATAAAAAGTTCATTAAAAAAGATGGGGAATCATGAAAATGAGGTTATGGAAATGTTAACAAAGGATCATTTCCTGCTTCCTGTACATTTTTCCCTTTTTTTTTTTTTTTAAATGTATTTCTCTGAGGAATTTATGTCACCATTAAAACTATGGAAGAGTTAAAGGAAGGACAGGCCTGGGTCAAAAAGAGGGTGAGATTCCTGAGGAGATCTCTTGGCCAAGGCCCAGTCCGTTCTCTTCATTAAGAGCTTGGGAGTCTAACGGGAGAGTTTACGCCAGGAAAAAAAAAAGTAGGGACAAATCTAGAGTTCTCAGGACTAACGGTTGGAACCCAGCAGTTTTCACAGGGATGGCTCCAAATGGATGGCAACAGCCTGCTGTCATTGTGAGGCCTGCGACAGGGTCAGGAACCCTTGGAATCTCTGGGTTCCAGCCTCCGGGCAGGGACTGGGGCCCCTTACCCACTTGAAGAAGAGGAGAGAGACATGGAGAGAGATGGGAAGCGGGGGACAGAGAAGAGAAAGTCAAGAGAAAGGGAGGGACATGGGATAGGGTGGCAGAGGGTCACTAAAACTGCCTTGCGGCTTGCCAGTCATGACCTTCTAATGCGAGCAGAGGTCAAGTTTCAAGCCTCGAGGGGTGTTAAACGCTAAAAGCAGATCAGTCCCTGGCATGGCCTTAAGGGAGTGCTCTTTCCTGGCCTGGCCACAGCCAGGCATTTAGCCTAGAGGGAAGGCCCTTGGGGGCTCTGCATTCTGACTTGACCGTGGCCAAATGGACATCGTGGGGGACTTTGCTAAGGCCAGGCTCCAGTCAGTTGCAGAGCCGGGCTCCTCTCTCCAAACCACCGGGCCTCCTGGAAGTCTCCTGGTTCTCATATTAAAGGAAGGGCAGCCGCAGATGATGATCCCTGGTAAATACACTGTCACTTTCTCTAATGGCAAATGGGACAACACCTTTATTTCTTGGCATTCACACACCCAGAGATGCTGGAGTAACGCACTCTGGGAACCAAAGCTAAAGAAACAGTTCTCCTTGAGGGAAGGTCTCCTGGTTTTCATGGACCCTTCATGCTTGGGCAGTGGGCATTGCCCAGACATAATGCACGCTCAGCCCCGGCAGCCTTGCTGACCTCTCTTTTGGGGGGCGGGTGCAAATATCCCTAGAGACTCACTTGCTTCTCTGACCATTAACGACCACTTAATTACTACTCCTGTTTAATAGTAAGCAATTATGCAATGATCGCTTACTTTTCGGCCCAAAAGCCACTGTGCGTACACTTACACAGAATCCGTGCTACATCTGCATCCTGGCGATGACCGGGCCACATGACCACGAAGACCTCAACAGATTGCACATGTAATCGACAACCCTGCAAGGTTTGGGGAAGTGCGGCTGGATGGGGCAGGTCAGGGCCAGACTCACCCTCTCCCTTGCAACTCTGTTGTAGTTGAGCCTCATGAGTTCTGCAAACCTCTGCTCGTAGAGGTGAAGCAGCAGCACCAGGTACAAGCCTGAATTCATCAGTTCATTCTGTGCCTAAATATGGAAAGGAGACTTTTAAGTTCATCTATAAAATATTCATGATCTAAATCATGGGGTGGAGGGAGAAAAAAGAATAGAGGAAAGAATCACCCACAAAAAATAAAGAAATCACAGGGTGGAGGGTAGTAACAAGACACCAGGGCAAGGCCTGTCCTTGGGGATCAGAGAACAGAACAAGAGGGGATTCAGCATAGAGGCTGGGCGGCCGTTCTGGAATTCTTTACTACTGAATGGAGGATGCCCTGGAAAAGCTCCATGCTTCAGGCCCAATCCCATGCTGTGAACATTTGTGGGGCAGTTATATGTCAAAGCCTTGAGCTGGGTGTTGTGGGGAACGTGGGGCAAAAGGTCTCCGTGACCTGCTGGGAGCCCATCATCTGACATGGGAAAACCGTGTTCAGAAACAGTTTCAGTACCAGCTGGATGTGCCAGCTACAGTGGAGGTGCACAGGGGGAGAGAGACAGGTTTACTAGGACACGGGGAAGGCCTCTTGGATGGTCCTTAAAGGACGGAAGGGCCTTCGGTTGGCCCTGAGGGTTGGTGAGGGCCTTCCGGACAGAGGCACTGAATGCCAGCAAAGGCCTAGGGGCGGAGAGAGCAGAGCACATGTTGGGCAACATTCCCTACTCACGAGTGTGGCTGGAGTATTTGGGGAAGGTGTTTGTTCTGGATTTAAAACATTTTTTTGGTATGAGCTGGGGAGATGGGAAGGTGGGAACCCATCAGGCAGCACCGGGAGTTTGGATGTCATCCTGTGTGTGTGTGTGTGTGTGTGTGTGTGTGTGTGTGTGTGTGTGTGTGTCTAGCTCCCGGCCTCTGAGCGGAGGAGTAAACACAATGGGATGTGTGTCTTAGGAAGGCAAACGTTTCTGTGGGAGAACTGGGAACACAGATGCCACAGGGCAGTTTTATTTTCCTAGATCCCGCGTTTGTCCAGAGAAAAGGCCCCAGGCCTTAGGTCTGTATGTTTCTCTCTCTATAATTGGGCTTAATGATGGTCTCACCTGAGGCTCCCGCCCTGGCTGGTCTATTATTTAACTTCCAGTGAGTGTGTGCCCGGCAGAGTCCCAGATGGACTGTGAACCTCAGGGCCTTGGCTCATCTCTTCCTCTTTTGGTCAGTTGGCTTGTTTTGTGCATCTGTTTTGAGTGTCCCCCTCCCACTCTTCACAGGCTGTGTCCACAGCTTTTTCAGTTGTCACAATGTCACCTCCTTGCAGAAGACTTCCTGATGAACCTCCTTTGTTCCAATCATTCCTTTACTCCCTGATTCCTAACTCTTGCTTTTGTACACTGCATCTTGCCCTGGTTAATGTTTTTGCTTTTTCTCGGTGGGTGGGTTGTGTTTTATTTTTCCTTGCTGGTGCTTGGAGCATAGGGAGGTACCCAGGGAGGATCAGACTGTTTCTGGCTGATGACAGCTCCTCGGTCCTCAGCTCCTTGGAGCAGCCTCTGCTGCAAGGCCTCACCCTGGGGACCCTTCCTAGACCTTCAATAAATTAGGGGCCATTAGGAATGACTCCTCCCCCTCTGCTGCTTTGTTTCCCCACCTGGCCTCCATTCAAATCTCCAGAGGTTGGGGGGTGTGGATGGGCCAGCCGGTGCTCAGGAAGCCCTCTGGGAGACTAAAGTCCCCAGCAGAGGACATGGCCCTCTGCTTCACCCTGGGGAGAGGTCGGAAGTGTGACCATTTCCTGGGATAACTGAAGCTCAGCCCTGACACAGGGACCACCTCTGTGCCTTTCCCTTCCTTCCGGGCCCATCTCCTTGTCCCCGTTCCATCCAGGGCAGCTCAGGAAACTGGCCCAGGACACACCTCTTCCAGGACTAAACAGTTGCCAGAAAAGGTGCCCAAATTGAGCAAGGATCGATGTGTTCTTCCTTCTGAGTCCCGTCCAAGTCTGGATCTTGCCCACTGGCCCCAAGGTCATGGCTCAAGGCCCCTCCGCTCTCCTATAGACCTGTATTGAAAGGCTCCAGTCAACTGTCCTTAGCAGTTAGCCTCCTATTTTTAGA